TTTTTTAACCTGAACTTAAGTAATTTTGGAGGAGGTACAGAGAACATTGGCGTGGGGTGATGATGGGTATAGAAATGTGAAGACAGGCTATAAAGAGTATGTTGTTAAGTCAGTATAGGGAAAGTGTACTGCCCTCTTTGGCCCCGTAGCTGGGCCTGAGAAACTGACCTTAAGACAGATTAACAGGAGAAAAGTATACAGATTTTATTTCGTGATTTTTACATGTACACAGGAGCCTTCATAAGAAAAATGAAGACCCAAAGTGTAATTAGAACCAAACACATATACACTAGGTTGGACAATGAGTAGTAAATTGTGAAAATGGACAAGAAAAAGGAGTTTGTGCAAGGGCAGTTATTTGTAGAAAAGTGACTAGGAAGATAAGGTTTGGTTTAACAAGGTTTGTTTGTCGTTTGGCCTCACCTCCCTGTCTCTGATCATAAGAATGTCTTCCTTCCTCCTGGTATGGGGGTTACACCTTTTGCATGGGAATTTTATCTCCTGCTTTCAGGAAGAGGAAGGAAGCTTAGAGTGCCCTTCTTGCATCTGCTGTTTTTCAGTGCCTTAAACTTAAAATAATCAGTACACCAGGATGGCATATTTTGGGGTGGCATACTCTGAACTCCTACACCAGCCACCACAGTGGGTAACTAGAGCTTAATTCTGTGTGAGACATATCCCTCAGAATCATCACACTAAAGTGCTGAAAGAGCTACAGGACTTCAACATCAACTTCCAAAAATTATGGTTGAGAGCTGAGTGGGTGGTGTTAATTCTCTGTTACTTCTGGCATGCTGCACATGTACACACATGGACAGAGCAGCAGCCTTCTGCAGTTTCAGAAAAGTCCTCAGCCACAGTGATATGCATACTGGTAGTGGAGCAATGGCCAGAAAACACTGAAGTGGTCCACCTAGGTGATATGTGTGGAGCTCTGACAAGCTCTCACAGGCATCATAAACCATGGATGAAGAGAGGTGCTTGGTACATCTGCTTTCAAAATCTTCCAGACTTGGTCCATAGACCCCAACCTGAAAGATAAGACTAATTTAATAGTTTGGGTTTAACTTGGTTCCAAATTACCTCCCCCGCAAAAAAATCTTCTGGCTAATGTTATTGAAATCATAGTCTGTGGTGTAAGAACTTTGGAACCTGAAGCACTATTTTTCTGAGCAGATCCAGTCCCTCCTCCCTTGTTTTCAATAACTTTGTATATTATTTGGCAATGAGTATTGTGGGTTTATATTTTAAATACCATATGGAAAAGGTTAAATGAATATTTTGGCTTTTTTTACTGTGATATTTAAAAATTTTTAATTTTTGTTTATTTTTCACAAGTAAAAATTGTACATATTTAAAGTATACAGTGTGATGTTTTGACATATGTATATGTTGTGAAATGATTACTACAATTGAACTAATTAACATATTTATTACTTCCCAAAGTTACCTTTTGTATGAGTGTGTGGTGAGAACACTTAAGATCTACTCTCTTAGCAAACTTCAAATACACAACACACTATTATTCAGTTGCCTTTTAAAAAAACTTTTTATTGTGGTAAATTTTAAGCGCAATCAAAAGTAGACAGAATAGAATAGTAAGCCCCCATATACCCAATACCTAACTTTAACAATTATCATGGCTTTCTCCTCTCTTGTATTATTTTTCTTTTAACTTTTGTTCTTCATATTTTTGTCCTCTCAAGGTTTTTTTTTGTTTTAATTGGGGTAAAATTTACATACAGTGAAATGCTCAAGTGTAC